ACTTGCTTTGAATTATCAAAGTATCGAAGTCCACTGCCACTTAACCTGCTTCGATACATTAAACTAGGTACCTGTGTCATGAACCGATGCATCGGCATTCCCACTAAGATCCCAACTTTTCCCTGTTCTAGGTTGGAACCAAAACATGATCCTGTTCAAATTCCAACCTCAACTTGACCAAATTATGTCCTTCTTAACACGAATTAATAATATCTCTCTTTATACCTCCATAATAGATTTCAATTGCAATTTAATGGAATAAACGCATCTCGATGGTTCGGAATAGCAGAAATCTTATGCCTACAGGGTGAACCAGAATATGAAGCATTATCATCATGATAATCTTCAGTGACTTGTCGGGATTCTTCAATTTCCACGGATTTTTCAGGGCGCTTGTTCTTGAATGGTATGGTCAAATGTGGTCAATCGAATAAGGTTTTCGGGCATAGCACACAATTCTTCACTCCAAAGCGAAGAAGCCAATGTTGAATACTGTCGGCGACAAATTGCTCGCAAACCTTATGCTAACTCGTTTCCACCGAAATCACGAACAGCAAAGTCAGCATCGGGTAACGGTAAAAGTTGCAAACAACTAGCAACAACAAATGTACAATATCCAGCGTAGGTCGAAATCAACAACCTTCAATTCACAAAAATTAACCAACACTATGGCGTCAAGTCACACGTGGAACAAACGAGTGAAGTCTCAATACCCCGCTTTTTACATGAGTGCATTAAGGTAATTGCCCCATGCTGAGACTGATGTTGCATTTTTGATGCTTCTTCACCGCAGTTGGGCTAGACCAGCTTACACTTAAACTAGGTCTTTTTAAACTGGATAAATTTCATTCCACTTTATTTGGTTTGTTCTACCTGCTTGAATAATCTGCTATTAACTGGCCACATTACTTACGCTAATTGCGCTTATCTTCGGCAACTTTGTTGCGTTTGTAGCATTTTCAAGCTATTTGTGGACATTTTTTACTTTTCGCGGACTCGTCGCTAACCAACTTACTTCATATAGTAATTTAGCGAAGAGTTATGTGCGAAGGTTCTTCCCCGTGATCACCCTATTAGCCCCATTGTGGTTGCTTTCACCACATTCACCTCAGGGTCACAAACGAGCATCCATCTAATCGAAACTAATGTGCCCTTTACCCTGAGCCGATGTTGAGAGTTTGTGGAACTACTACTGACGGTGAGGGGGGGGGGGAGAAAATTTTGCCACAAGTAGTTGCGCCGCCACTGGTGCCAGCGTAGCCAGCAGATGTCTTTCCGTCATCATTTGCTAATCACGTTGACACTGAAACTAAGGGAAGACATGTGCCGCACTGTCGCTGTAATCGAGCTGTGCTTGTCCCTGTAAGTCTGCGTAACCTTAAGTCTGATAACATGTACCAATTGACATCCCAGGTAGGGATGCGCTTAACCTCGGAGTTGATGAGACGTCCAATGATCCGGTGCTAGCCAATGTTAACCGTAGCTTGGCGAAACCGAATGCGGTATTCGTGCCATTACTAGGATCGGAGACTGATTCCATCCAATGTGAAACGGACTGTGGCTCAGCCGCCGCTCTGGGTACTTTGTCTGGTGAGTTTTCGCCAGTTATACATCGCTGATATGTATGCTGAAGGGCTGTGGAACGGCTCCGTATGAATCGTGGTTCCCATCCACATGTTTTCTAGTTGCATTTCTTCGGGACTAATTGGACGTGTGTGAATGTAATGTGGTTGGTGAAACGCAATCCTTTTATGACTCCACCAGACGCATACACCGTGTCGATGTTCTGTCCCATTGCTAGGCGAATTGATCAATGGAACAATGGTTTAGTGCAGATAAAGGATTTAACGCTTAATAAAGCTCGTAGGTGAGGACAGCATACCAAAAACACAAGGGTATCAGAAGAGTGACGCGTGTCAGTAGGTCCACCGTAAATTTTACATTACACACCGTTTCTCTACGTTATCTCATGGCCTAATGAACCTGCACCATATCATTTAAAGTAGGGGGACTACTGCAGCCGCAATTCGGTTCATGAATTGAGACCGTCACAGCAGCTGCAAAAACAGGTAGTCCTCCACATGCTCGGAAAAACACTACTCATGAATACATCAATTCAGATAACGTTGAAGTGGAAAGTACATAAGTCGGAAGGGTGCTTTACGATTAAGTCACCCTAAAGGACAGGCGGTACTACAAGTATGCAAGCCCACTATACTGTGTGGCCCAATTTAGCTGACGGCTTCTCAAGCTGCTACTGTGGCTGTGTGTCAAGAATTGATGATCAGCGTGGTTTGGATTCGATAGGACCTGCTACATTATAATAAATGCAGACGCCGGTACTGCGCACTAGAATTCACAGTGCAAGTTGGTAAGGAAGATGGAATAAGTACTTGAACTTTTAGTCTCTTCTCGCTGTGGGATCCATGCCCAGCGGGGTCATGACGTTGTCGGGGCTTTCCGATCTGCACCTACTAGCAAACACCGAGGATCATGCTTTGGAAAACTTCGCTCTTTTGGAGGTGCTATAACATTAAGCCGTTGACTGCGCAAGTGTGGATGCAAAGGGTGGACTTTGCATCCACACCATAAGTGGAGATCATAGGGGCTACCTAATTACCGCTTTGCTCCTCAAAATTAAGAATCAGTCGTATCGATACATGCGTTTTCCTGGGACAGCATTTCCTCCAGAAAGGCGACCACTTTGAGTTGTTAGGTAATATTGTCATGCAATAAATATAGGCATCATTCACGTGATTGATCAAAGCTTCATTTTGTCCCCAAACGCTTTCTGATGAATGGGCCGACGCGGGGAGTTGCACTTGTGGGCACGTAGGTTGTGGCTTCGCTGCGCTAGTCGCTTACTGATACAGGGCTGGACTGCCACACCACTGGTAGTCACAATTGCACAGCAATGAACAGAAGGGCTGATTTTGTTCATTTGTACACCGTGCAGTATCACAACAGTTGGCGTTGATCATCGATGCTGTAAGCAAGCGATATGGTTTCAAAGCCTGTTATTAACGGGGCAGCCGAATAACAGAGTACCAGTCAGGGAAAGAATGTATGCCACTACCGTGTGGTGGGCGTCAACATGACATGATGACTTTAGTGCATTGCAAATTCTCTATGATGGCACAGAAACAACATTTAAAACTCGACTGCAGGAACCTGGTAAGTGAGCATACAACGGAGTACTGGACTCTCTACTAAACTTGCACTACTTGTACTAGGAAGGGCATGCCTTTCACGTGACTGTACTAATCACTTGTCAGCTCCATAATCGGGATAGATCTTAGAATAACCAATCGATAAAAGGCTGATGTAATCCCGAAATGTCTCTGAATCAGCGACCTAAAGGCTGAGAAGATTTGCAGCCATGGATAGAAGTCAGTATCATTTCTGCATATGGCTCTTTGCATGGGTTGATTCTAGTCCTTTTGTTTAGCCCGGTTTGGGGTTTTCCTTGTTTATTGGTCTCTCACAAGATTTGATCCTTTAATACGCACCTTTCATTGTCACGCTGATTATGCGGGGGTCGCAACTGAATACTTGGAGCCCGGTAGTTAGACTGGGTCAAGCTGAACTGCGGCAGTTGGAAGCAATACACAGTGGCCACTAGATAAGATAGGGGTGTGCCAATTTCAAAGACTTCATGAGCGATGCACCGAGATTCAGCTTGAGTTTACTGGACCAGTGTGTCTCCCATATGAACATTCCACCGGTATTACTGCTGTAACCCTGCTTGTAAGGGGAGAGAGGGCGTGTGATTGTGTGCGAAGCGAATGGAAGCGAAATACCGTCTAAGGTGTTACATATGCCTGTTGAGTTGTAACTGTTGCGATGGAAAACAGAAGCATTGTTGGTTTGGATTTGTGGATGCCAGTCTGGTAATGAACATCGTTTGAACCACTGAACATAACACGCATCCCACAACTCGATTTACTCTTTCGCAGTTAGGTGACCAGACACGGCATTAGTTCAGTCTTTCGGCCACGAATCTATTGCTTGTCTGTGGTCGGTATGGAAATTCGTAACCCAAAATCGATTTCGATGGCGTCCACTGGTGACAGTGCTTTAGCTTTAATCGTTCCAGACGGCAATATGCAATCATTCTGTCATTTTCCTTTCTATCACTTTATGGGAACTGAAGGTACCACCACATATTTCATACTTGAAGGTGAGCCAACAGCGGTGGTAGAAATGGAAGTTAGATCACTCCCTTTTCGTGACATAAAACTGTACCGAAGCATGCAGATTTCGTTAGTCTCAGAAAGCGAGAACCTGATTTAATCGATAGCTGAGAGGTAAGGATAATCTTTCTGATATAATGCACATGATCCACTCAAGAACTTGGTCTCGATTGCGCTGAAAGCCAGTTGTGGATCTCATCTTGTTTGGGGTCACTCATGTTAACCGAAAGCTGACCGACCCATCGATTAGCTAAGTCATCATCAGATTGCACACGTCAAGACTCGTCTCCGTTTTAGACGCATACGTAGCTGATCAGTTACGTCGACCTAATGCCTGGCCAAAACAGCAGTAACCACTTACTAGCCGGATAAGCTTTGCAGTTAATGCTTGCTTTGAGAAAGCTGATCAACATTGTTAGCCAGCCTCACTTCCCTACAGCCAGGGAATGAATGCGCAGTTCCAATCATCACCCTTTCGGTAGTATACTTCCGTCATCCTGACACTGTTCCCGGGATCCTCACACCAGAAGAGCTTAACCGGCCTACCGGCGTTTAACCATTCTCAGTCAAGTCGATCAGTCCAATATACCAGCCTAGCAACATGCTTCGGGGCGTCGCTCACGCGCTCAGTAATCATTGAAACCTACCTAAACCTCCGCGTTATGACCAAGTAAGCGTTCGGGCTGGAAAGAAAGGCATTTGATTCTAACTTACGATTGGTGCGCCAAAGCAACCAATCACGGTAATGAGCGTTGTTTACCGCTTTTGGCCTGCTTGGGCGGCCAACGTGAAACGCAATGTTCATGCACATGTGCGTCCAGCACAAACGACCGCCCCACTGTGAAAGGGGCGAGTGCTGGCGAGTGAGAAAAGTGGATTGGAACGTTTAGGCCAATGTGGTACCTTGAGCTCGCGTAACTCTTGTACAACACCCACAGCCACGCAACTGACAGTCCGCGTAAGCCGAGGTAAGCAGCTTAACCGCGATTTAATCGTGAACGGATTAATACTTTAGCCGATTTATGCTGTGCGGATTTTTTCTGCTCCTTATAAGTAAGTCCACATACATGCCCCACTTCTATTTCTTTCGTTCGATCGCTGGTTCACTAATGCTCTCTTTGTGTTCGTCGTTTATAGCAGTTAATTGTGCCACGCGCATTACGTGACGATAGGATTAGCGTTATCTATTGAAATGTTATGATTCCCAGTCTCAAGATTTCGAGGGAAAAATAACCCCCCCGACGCAAACTACTGGTTTTTCTTTTCATTTACTGCTGGCAAATAACTAAACTTCGAAAGAGGCTCGTTAAAGTTGCACTAACCTAGGCGGCAACTGTGTATCCAGAGGTGAACTAGACGACTTGTTCCCCAGAGACGCGACATTCCCGACGACAATGTAGCCTGCTTTGGACAAGTATCTGCAGCGAATCTTTCAACATTTAGTCGAAACTACTTTTTCGTATAATCTAAAATAATAACCATAGGCCGGAACAGACTAGCACGAGTTAAACGGTGAAAGCACCGTCGTAACACTCGTAATACAGGGGCTCCCATCCACTAGGCCGTTCGGCGATCAATTTTGCAACCTAGCAGAAGGCCATTGAACGGCGTGATGTATCACGTACATACAACAGCCCAGTGAAGCAGGTCTACCACAGAGGCACAAACCGGAAGGACATGTACTGATGAAGCAATTTTGGTGGGGTTCAAGTTCAAGTGGGACTGGAACGATAGGATGAATCCCGTAAGTGTTACTTCTTGAGCGGGTCGTCGATCCAGGAGTGCTCCGACTTCTTGATGGGTCTAAAAGGAAAACACCCGAAAAAGCACCCTGGTCCACCAATTTAATGCCCACGTTCCTTACATTAGCTGTCCCAGCTATGTCAGTTACGTGAAAGCTATGTCAGTTACGTGAAGCTATATCAGTTACGTGAAAGTGGGGTAAAGTAGGGTAAGGTCACAGCACCAGGAAAAACTGCGTTCGCAGTCTACAAGCTTTGGCGTCCACTTCAGTTACCATCAATTCGGTCGCAGCTGGAAACTGTGGGTCACCGAGCAGTCTGGCTAAATTTCTACGAGAATCAGCAACATAGGGAAAGGGGGAAATCATGGAATAAATTTGGTTGGTAGGTCGATGAACAACGACGTCAGCAGCGTATTCATATTGTCGAGGCGAGTGAGACCTAACAGTAATCAGCTCGAAGTACTAGTACAATAGGCGCACTGCACACGCATTGAGTGGGAAAATTACACTTAAAATGCAACTTTCAGCAGTGTAACTTTCCACTCGTGTGACCAGCTACGTTATATCGTGAAATGTCACTAAAACCACCACCAGTATAACGAAATGTTCAGAATAGCGAAATGTTTAAAGACCGATTCTTTTTTCTGTATCGCTACCTCGTGTATAGACTTATTTCAGTGTAAGAAGAACTCACTAAAGCGAACAGCTCTGAGGTCCGGAGGCTTTCCATATACTGGTAACTCATTGTAACCTGTTTATACAGATGCACTCTCTGAGAGTGGGAGAATAGGAACAGCACAACGGGTTGTATGATTTCAGCATCAACAATGCAATGTGTTAGTGAAGCACGAAAACCGGCACTTGTTGCACACTAGAGGCAAGTCATCGAAGTGGGCTCAATCCAGTGTCGCGTGTCCTATTGGTGCGAAGAGAAAAGTTTGTCTTGAATGTGCAAATACCCCGAGGGGCTATTTCATTCACTGGTCGCCCGGTTTTGGGGAATGGATACACAGAGAGGCACGGCCCTGTGACTGCTGTAAACCGGACATCTAATTTGAGGAACGTTGACATGGACTCGCAACTGGGCACATAGATCGTTACGTGTCATGGGAAGAGGGTCCATGCTGCGAGTTTGGGACGTCCGCATTTGTGTAAATTTAGTCACTGGTATACACCAAGAAATCGACTTCGCGAATGTTTTATTCTACAACACCAACATCCCACAGACACACGCAATACTCAAAAGGTTCGGTTTGATCGTTCGGTACAAATGTACGTAGACGTTTTCTGGTATATATATTTAAAGATTATTGGTTCACACATTAACAATGCCTCTGGTAGGATAGCTACTCCAGCATCACCTTGCTGGTTGACATGATTGCATGTAGGCCTTCAGGAAAGCGTGGCCGAGTAAAAGTAGAACAAGTACTAAAATTGAATGAAGATGGACAGATCCATTCAGCGTTTCCTTTCCAGCTCACGCTTTTTGACATGGTTGTAATGTAGGCGTGACTGAACAAGCAGTGGAGATGAAAATTGATTGATCATTTCTTCTACAGCCCACGCAGAGCCTGGCTAAGTAGACACAGTACGTAGGACGTTCTGTGCTTGCTTGCAACCAGCACACCTAGCATTTTTAGTTGCAATTTAATCTCAACGTTGTTCTTACTTATTGTACCATCAAGAAGCTAAGAACTGTCTTTTGTACGCTGGTTGCAATTCGCAGGCTTTTACTTCAACAAGGATCCGGTTCCAGTATCTAACGGAGCTGTTTAGGGTTAGATTCATCCGTAACTTACTACTTTTTTTGTACAGCGGGAGTGTGTACCTCGTATTTTACTTGCGTATCTACCATCATTTTAGTAGTGAATAGCAATATTTGGTGAAAATACATCTTTATGAACCAAATCAAGTGGAAGTGCTAATTTTAGCTTATGCGTATTAGCCACAGTGGCTCAAGCTGTAGTCTAGTTTGGACGTATGGTCAAAAACCGTCTTAATGCATGAGTGCTGTACGTTTCCTGCCGCTTGTAAAGATACTCGGACAGTAATCTAGCACAGGGCGAATGCAAACCTTAAACAAGCGCAGCTCCGATGCCCGCAACGAGGATGATTTTAAGAGGAGTTTCTCACATTGCGATCCTGCAGTTATGCCTTCAACTTGTTCACCGAAATTCAGCTAGATCAAGGGTGATACTATTACGTGGCATACGTTGACCGCCAGGATAAAATTTGCATGTCACCACATTGCAGTTGTCTGCTGAGAGGTACATTTGCTTAGTCCAGCAGATCTATGCGAATCTTACTTAGATTATCGAAGGTGTATGGTGTTTTTGTGCCATCCAAAAGAATATATGGTGTTTTTAGTTTTTTCAGTTAACTCACTGATATATATTAAGAAGAGAATCACACCACTGTCGATCCTCTGGTGTGAGGGTTTAGTATGTCCTATTTGTATCTGTTGCGTGCGGAACTTGAGGTAGCATTTGAACTATGTATGACAATGATATGAGGGTTTTGTAAACTCCAAATTTAGTACATCCGGTAATATGCAAGCATGTGTGTGCGGCTTCGGGCGAGTGTTTGCAAGCGCTGTTTGTTTACTTCAACAATACCATCTTTCAACTATTTGCTGGTTGGTCCCAAACGTCCAGTTAGCGAAGTATACCGGAGCACAATTCGAGTGCATACCTGCCCCGTTAGCAAAGATTCCGATGGACAAACCCTGAGCCCGAAAGTTCGGTAGCCAGCACAGATTCACACAGGATTCGATGAGTGAATCCTTAGAATTGGATTATACAACACAGAACTATCCCTCATTGCACCACTCTGGAGGCTTTGTTCAAGACTGCAGGTTGGAGCGACTCATGAGTTAGTCGAAGAATGTGTCATCTGTACTGTAGCCCGATCGCACAACGCTTCACAGTTCGAAATACTGGGTTGTCCCGAAATCCACACAAATTTCAAAACCAACAACTGTTTTAAACAAATAAGGTCAATTAGCCATTATGACGTATATTGTTATCGAGGATGTGCGATCAACGCTCAGGTACGGAACGAGCTTGGCTGGCTGCCGAAGTACTGGACAAGGTACGTTTCAATGTGGTCGCAGTCATCGAATTTCTTTTCCCTGATTTGTCTGTGCAGTGACCGGAAAACGCGGTAGTCCGTAGGGCGACGTCCGGTCTATACGTTTGATGCATCAAACCCTCGACAACGAGATACGGAATTTTGAGGCGGCTTTGCCTCATGAAGGCGTGCGTTGTCAAGCAGGAGAGGGATTCGAGCCACACTTGGACTTTCTGTTCAGTTGGAGCTTTGCGTTACCTGTATCACCCCAGCCAATACAATGAGATACCAGATGCTGCATGATGATATCTTTTCGTGATAATTGATCACGTGCAAATAAGTAACATTTGTTTGTCGATTAGCTTTTGCAGTTGCTGGCAGTAGCCATCGGTTGTAACCGTGGCATAGTCAGGTAACCGTTTCCGTTTGATGGCGATGCGGTCATCCTACCAGACCAACAGCATCCCATTTTGCCGTGAAATTCGCATTTCGGGACTTGTACTGGCATTTCATCTGCTGGGATCCACTGGCACTTTCTGCTATAGTTGACATGGAGCACCCACTTCTCATCACCAGTAACAACGTCATCCAGGCTTCACTGAATGCGTCTTCGGGCGAGCAATGAAAGTGCGACGTAACAACGGTTCAGAACCTGATCATCAACTAATTCGTGTGGTACCAGTTGTTTTAACTCTTGGACCATTCCTGATTGGCACAGATGGCAATGAACGAGGGTTTCGGAAGGTCAAATTGTGACGAAACTTCACGCACACTTGGACTAGGGTCCTACTCCGGAGCGTCCTGAATGTTGCCGACACTATCCTCTGGCTGGCATTCTTGATCTCCGATGTTTGACAAACCATAGGTCCCTACTTTAAATCGACGGAGCCAACACGTTATCATACCATAAACTGGAGCCTACATGCTTAGTAAGGCGCGTCAGTTTCGACAAGCCTCGACTGACTTGCGTCCTGGTAGGAAGACGTGCAACAAGCATCTGCGAATAGCTTGTTGACTAGATGCCCATACCACAGCCATTGCTAAAATGTTGGCTAGTTGGACAATGTAAGATTATTGTTCCAAAGAATATTGGATTCGTATCGAAAAAAATATTTAATTGATTTCAGGACCACTCAATAGCATACGTTCATGAGGTTTCAGTTTTAATGTGTAAGACGTTGTGTATTGGGCTGTTGACTCGTTGCATGGATGTTGGAGAAGTAACTCAGTCTTTGGCTGC